CCCCCCCCCCCCCAGGAGGAGATCGACGACAAGTTTTATATCCAAGGGGGAATCGTTTACGTTTACGCACGTGTTACGAAGAATTATATCCGGGATTATTATATCGGTATCCTTTTTTTTACCCCCAATATTTTACTTATTACGCGTCTTTTTTCCCCATTCTTTTTACAAGCGTGTACTTTGTTTGAAAGTTTGTTATATATTCTTTTTAAATACGATTCTATACGTAACGGATGTTAAATTTCGTATTTGAGAAATAGAATAGATTCGAAAGGAGGATAGAAATTTTATCAAAAAATTCGCACGATCTTAAATCTTAAATAGTTCGATCGTTCTGTAACTTTCGTTCACACAGAAATTATATTTCCTTCTATCGGTATAATTCTACGGGTTAAGAAAAAAAATACGTAGTTAAAAAACTTGTTTTCCATTGCAATTAAAAATATATATATATATGAAACGACGCGACACAGAATAATCTTCGCAAAGTTGTCGGTAGCGAGATAGGGGCCAGCTGACGTTCGAAGGAACGATTCGAATACCTAGAATTTGTTTACGCGGATCGAGTAGGCCGCATTTTCAATTGCCGCGATAAAGTCGAATTTTCGAGCGGCCTCGCGGAGGCAGGGCGGGGCTGGGCCGCTTCGATAAAACTTGGATCGATGCTGGGACGCGGCACGGGTTGCCACGGGTTACCGTTAACGGCATCTCTCCACTCCGGCCACGCTCAGCCGCACAGTTCTTCACCTTCGATTACAATTTCAACATTGATTCCATCTCGACCCGTCCCCGAATTTTCCGCGGCCAGGAAAAAAAAGAAAAAGAATCTCGTTCCGTAGGTGAACCAAGGATGTTGATAATCGGATGATGGAACGGTAATGGAAGGAAGAAAATGGTGAGTTTCGAGTTTTCAACAAGGATTTTGCGATGTAAAATGATCGATCAATTATTCGAAAGATTATTCAACGATCCATGCAAAAGATGACCTTGATCTTGCATCTTGAAATTAATTGGTAATCGTTAGAATGGTGGTCAGCTAAGGATAATTGACTCGATGCTTTGGGTGGTTTTGGAAAATTTGTAACGGATAGGGAGAATTTTTTGTATAAACGCGTTATAAGTTTTATATATTTACTTCGTTCTGAATTGAAGGATAAAATTCCTTTTGGTAATCTTGATTATTATATATATATATATATAACGTATGCGTCTAATAAATAATAATAAATATATTAAGTCAGTTTTGTTTTCGAATTCGATGAATTCGAATTGGATGAATGAATGTGAAGATTAAAAAGTGATAAGTAAAACTTCCACGAAAAGAAAAATTGATCGAAGAAATGCACTGTTACCGGACTTTGGATTTTAAAAAGCAATTAGAATTGGAATAAGAAATTGATCGATATTCCGAACTGTCAATCTATGGCCGCCTAGAACAGATTAATCTATTTCTGATCAGTTCGATCGAGAAGCGAGTTAGCGAGTTCTCGTTAGAGATCGATTCTTAACGGAGACGTTCGATTCGATCGGTATTCAAATCAGCCGAACAATTAACACTCGAATTAGTCAGGCCAATCACTGGTCAACCAAGATCGGAGCTTCAAGCAAGAAGTTAATCAGCTCCCACCCCAGAATTAAAGGATCCAATCGAAGGATTCATAACAAAAACGATTATTCCTCGTCGATTCCCTCTCCTTTCTTTTTCCAGAAGAACGAAAAATATTCTATTATTTACAAGTTAAATTTTCTTCGACAAAGTACGTTTAATTTAAAACTACATATCAAATGATAATATAATTATCTTTCAGAGAATTTTTATTCTTTATCGAGAAAATATTTGCCACTTTTTATAATTTTTTCATTATCTTACACATACAAACAAATTTAATATCTATCAAAAAAATAATATACAGAACGTCTATTTATGGATAAAAATATAAATATAATCTTAATACTATTACCGATAATCTAAATTTAAATAATAGAATTCCACAAATTAAAATAAAATAAAATAAATATTTATATCATTGATTTCACAAATCAGTATTTTTTATTAAACTATTTAAACAAATAAAATATAATTTTAAAAATATTAAATTTAAAGGAATTCAATGTATTAATATTCCTTTTTATATTCGAAACAGTCGAGTCTCCCGAGTAGTTTTTCACCAGTTTTCGTTTGAGAATCGTACAAAGCTACCAATTTCAATTCGATTCGTCGATCCCCTCGAAAAGAAAGAGAGAAGAACGCGAGGAGAGGGGGGGGGAGGGGGAATTGGCGACGAACGCCGCGGCTAACGAGATCGTTCCGGGGGGGAAGAAATTTCGTACGATTCTGGCCGCGAACGTGCGACGGATGAAAGGTGAAACGGTAAACAGCAACACGATTTATTTATTCGGGAACGGGACGTGCGCGTTCATTTTCATTCCCGGCCCATGCTGGGACGGTTCCAGGGCCGACTCTTGACGCTGGCCAAGAGCCACGTTGACCCACGGAGGCGTGCCCACAATTGCGGTTTCTTGCTCTTTTCCCGCAGGAGACAATGCCGTGGGATCCCCCTCCCCCTCCCCGACCCCGAAAAGCGTGCCGAATTACTCCGAATGCCTCCCATCCCCATCGTTTCTCCCCCTGTTTTCCCCGGGACGATCGATCCTCTTGCTATTCCAGCATTTTAGAATCGAACGATGGGCCCACGAGATTCCATGAAGAGTGGGAGAAGAATCTGTAAATACTCACGCGTGTCTCGAAATAATTCTCTGGAAACTGTGTCAATGCACGATACATGGAAAGATAGAAATTGTCATTCTTTGGTGAGAATTTCGAAATATTATTAATATAATTCAATAGCAAAGTATTTATAGAAAATTTATTCGTTAGATATTAGAATGAATTATCGAGGGTTAGAAAATATATTTCGTGAATTCGTTCGATTCATTAAGTTTCTCTAACTTGAGTAATTCGAATTTCAAATTCGAACTTTGATCGAATTAATCGATCGAAGATAAGTCGATCCAAGATAATTAAATTCGATCGACAAGATTTCCAAATATTAAAATATTACGAAAAGAATTGTTACTTTTCACACATCTCCATCCACGATTATCTTAGCCTCGCATGGAATAAGAAGGGAAAAAATTCGATCGCATGGATTGATCCGCGAAATATTTCGCAGGAATGCGAAATATCCGTCGTAAATAAGGAAGCCTATCGCGGAATTTCATTCGATACCCATCGCCCGTTATTTTCCTATGGCTCTCTCTCTCTCTCTCTCGATATTTCTCGTCCAATAGAATGCATTATAGCCCGCGTCTCGAATTTATCGCCGGCCAGGCAAAAATGGCTATAAATCCAAGGAGAGAATTTTCAATGCCCCTCTTACTTTTACCACCGCTGCTGCAAAGCGCGCCTCGGAATCGTATCGGTTTCCACGGTCCTGTTCGAATCGTCGATCCCTCCGTCTCGAGGGGGAAGGGGGGAAGGGAGAGGCAGGATTCGAGACAGGTTGGATTTACTAGATCCGGGGGAATACGGAGGTTTTAACATTTAAAATTTAAATGGCCACCGCTCTTTCTCGAGCGTTGCCGACGAGACGGGAAAACGGGATAAATAGACCTCCCTGCGGCTTCCACACCCCCTCCCCTCCCTCTCCCAACTGTAACCGGCCCTCATTCGATATTCTTCTGGACAGATTTCTCCTCGGTTTTTAAAGTAAAAATCTATGACAACTGTCCCTTTCTTCCCCTCCCTCGCTTTTCTCTCGCT